ACGCGTGTCGACTCATCAATTTAACAATGAACTCTGTGTGGAAACTAGATTCTTCAGTTTTGTTATGCCATGGTAATCCACTCGTTCCTCCTCGTGGAATTCCATTTTTTCTATTGATATTTATTTGGCCACAATTCAGTCAATTATTGAATAACGCCAAGAAGTGATATCAGTGATACAATGATCTAAAAGTGCCTTTACGATATACGAAAACAAAACAAATTGCGTCATAATCAACACGACGATGGAATTAAGAGTGTGAAATTGGACAAAACAAATAATTCCAACAAAACAACTATAGGATATAATTTATATCAGTCTTGTAATGTAATTCACATTTCAAACAATCTGATCACATATGTACTTGTCATAGGAATCTGTATAAAAATAATAAAGCGTTTAGGGGTGTCAGAATAAATATAGGTTGAGTTGAAAGGCCATGTTGAAGGTTAAAACAGCAATGGACAATAATAAATCAAAGAAATGAGATAATAATGCATCGAGATTATTTCACCAATGAAGGTTTATTGTGATGAACACATAAAGATGGTTTAAAATTCCTAACCTCTAGGACTTTTGCAAACTTCAGAAAACGCCCTAAGCATGTTTTACACACAGGTTTAAGAAACAAATATCAAATTTGTGCCTTATATACATAGTATGGCTCTCAGTGAAGAGCTAGGTTTTCTATTCCCACCATTAATATGTTCAGCGGTTTCATTTTGCTTCTTAAGCCATGTAAATATGGCTACACGTACATTTAAATTCATAGATACAATGGGATTTGACATCAGAGGTTTTCAGGGATTAGGCGTATAAAAAGGCTTTACATTATCCATCATATGCATATTAACTATCTTAAAAATTTTTTCACTGCTTAATTCAGTCTTTATTTAAGTATCAAACTGTTATGATCATCCATTTAGAGTAACTTGGTACATACATCTTTTTCAACAGAGTGCTGCAGAATGTGTCGTAGTGCTCTTACTGCTTTACATATCTTTATGAAACTCTTTGGGTGATAATTTTCAACCAGATCTTCTGTAAGTTTTTATTCCTCACCTTCAAGTTTGTCTTCACTGCATACTCTTTGGGTCCTACAAAAGAGTCGCTTCACAAAGACTATTATGTATTGAATTAGTTTGAAGCTTTGGTAATTAAGACAGTGTCCTGACGAGGTGGGTTTTTTATAAGTAGGATTAATCCATCAGGCCGTTGACTAAGGCATATGTCTAGCATAGATAAATAGTTAGTTATCTCTTCTGAACATGTAACTGATATACTGTTTTACATTTCATTCACTCTAAAATTAAAGAGACAGAACTAGGAATATCACTCATGTTTGAAATATCACCATTATGTTTTCTATTAAATACTTTTCTGTTAAATCTTCAGATTAATTCTCAGGGTATGACATAAACATCTCTGCTAATAATGGCCACAACGGAATTCTGATAGCAACACTATCAATCTGACAGAAACGGTCAAACACGAAATGCCTAAAATAAGGTAAACGTCATTTGTAATTTCTCTGCAAAGAACGACTTACTGACTGCTTTAGAGAGACAGATTTTGAATACATGTATAGCTTGATCACCTTTGAATTCCAGGTTCATTAATAAGGTTTCTTTTGAACTGAGTCGGTGACCATTTTCGACTCCTTATCTTTCGTGTTTATGTCAATAAATCGGTTCAGTAACTGTTTTTTGTGAGTGTGGCTTTTAGGAAAGCAAGTTTGGAGTCAACTCAATCAGATAAGATGTTATTTTGATAAATCACACAGTGTTATAAAGTAATATTAACTGATGACGTTTCGAGCACAAACTATTGCTTATTATCATATCAAACTACTCACAACCTTTTACTTCATATATATATATATATATATATATATATATATATATATATATATATATATATATATATATATATATATATATATATATATATATATATATTGAAATGTCAGCAGTTAATAACACTGTGTGATTTATCAAAATAAAATCTTATCTACAGTGGTGTTATACTCTGCCACATTGCTCAAGTTTTATACTTATGTCAACTCAATCAGAACTACAAATATTTCTAATCCTGAAGCAGAGTGACTCAGTTCCATAGAAAACTATATTCATGAACCTACAATTCAAAGGTGATCAAGCTGCAGATATGCTCGAAAACCGTCCCTCTTAATCGGTCAGTAAAATGTTCTCTGCTGCGAAATTACAGTTGACGCTCACCAGCCGTAAGTTGTTCTCCAACTGTATAAAAATAAGCTCCCTCACCTGACTGCCTCTATGCGAAATTACCAGTTCACTTGTTCTTGTGGAGCAGGGTACACTGGTCGTAGCCAGAGAACGCTTTTCACACAGATACTAGAACATATTCCAGCATGGTTTTAGAGAGAAGAGAGAAAGGCTATGCGAATCTGTATTCAAGAACACTTGACCGATTCTTGTCACTCTGCCAACCATGAACATGATTTTAAGATCCTATATAGAATCCATGCTAACTTGTTGAGTTTTCTTCGTTATAAACTTATAAAGACAGCGTTGGCTTTGTTCCATTCATGAATTAAGGCCAGACCTTTGTGTACAAAAGAAGTATGTACGATCCCTACTCCTGCCTTGGCTGTAGAGGGATAGATACTTATTCATCTATTTTTTATTCTTCATATTTTATTTATATATTCTGTTTATTTAGTTAGTCTATATACCTTTCTCTCAGTGCTACGCCTATCATTATTACTATTACTATTATTAATACCATTACCGTTCTCACTTGTCCTGTTTGTCATTCTAAATCCAAAAAATGGTTTTTCAATGTTGAATCCTATCTAATCAGATTTCACGTCACGTTACGTAACGTTTTATATACGCCTACTAACTCTACTATTATAATACACCCCTTTCCAACACCTTGACAGTAAAATGAACAAGGAAATATCTTCTTTTCAATTAGGTCCTCTTCAATAAATTTGTTCTAAGAAGAACATTCTCTAAAGCTGAGGTACACTATCTGTTGGAAAAATTCATCCTAAACGATCAAATTATAAACTGATGCTCATTTAGATGTTTCAAGTAATTTTGAAATGATAATACTCTATTATCCTAACCTGCATAGTATAGTTGTAAAGTTTGCATACTACATGTTAGCTTGATCCTTATAATTTGTCTTTGTTCTTAATTATTTTCCAATTTCAGTGTATCTTTGTGGTTGTATGATCATATTGGCAGTGTACTGTTTAACGATTGACCTTTTGTTTTGGTGAATTAAATATCATTCTGGCCTAGGAGTGTCTGCAGGAAGTGTTTGGCGCGTGATTCCTGTTGGAGTAAAGATCGAATATATCGCGTGGTGATTTCGCCTATAGTACAGCCATATAAAATAGTTGATACAACCCCTTCAAAACTGTCAAATCAACGTGTGATATGAATACAGAATTCCTCTAGCCCCGTAATACAAAGTTAAGCACCTGACGAAACTGCAGCCGTAATTCACCCCCTTCATCTTTCTTATACACTCATAATGAAAAGAAGGTGCATCAAGTGTGATTTACGATAGGCTAAATCCTCGTCTTCTTACTGACTGAAATTTAGTCCCACCTTGTTGGGAATACTCTGCTTGATTCTCAGTTACTTCTTATAGTTGATTTCAGTTGAATAATTTCACTGTGTAGTACTTGTTTTGTATCTGAGAAATGATTTTGTTTATATATCTGCTTAATGGCATTGTTGGGATAATTTTTTGTATTGATATGTTATTATTGTTGAATAGTACCACAGATTTTATTGCAAATAACTTCTTTCTTGCTGTCGTTGTGGTAATGTGGGATCAAGAGTTACTCAAGGAAGGTTTGGCTAGTTATACAATGGAACATGAATATTGTTTTCCAGCTTTCAGACCGCATCACATAGGTTTTGGTCAATACATTCACAATCACTCAAATTTTATGTTAGAGAAATAAGGACAAACTACTCAGTCTTGCCATATCTATGTGTATCTATCAGTTTAACTGCTCCTATATATTTATATTATATTTAGCGTACAATTAAGCGTGTTCTCTATCAGATCTCTGAACACCATCCTTCATGTCTAAGCAAGTTCTAAACACAGTCTATTGGTAGTTCGGTTCTAGAACACCATAACGGTCCTGAACATGAAGTCGACTTTAACAAAGCATTTCGTATTCAAAGTAATTTTTAGTTTACTTTACAATTTCGTCTTCTAAATCATCGGAATTTATCCGAAGAAGTCGAACCTATATGTTGAGAAGAAATTCATACAGCCACTTTCCTTACCTGGGCCATATATATACATGAATATAAAATTTGATGACTTCACAGTCAGCTTATGCCATAAATAGGTTATTATTGTCCTAATTTTCTATAGTTTGGTTTGTAAGGTTTAGATATGTTTTTACGAGTTGATCACGGATTGATATCAGTAGAGAACCATTGAAAACCAGAACCGGAGTACTGGACAGCTGTTTCATCCTAGTTTGGGAATCATCGCAAGTACGCACCCACTACCAGGGTTCGAACCCAGGACCTTCCGGTTACAAGGCAAGCTCGTATACTATTCAGCCACTGGGACCTGATTCAATGGCTCATGAATTCTGACTTCCACCAATTCGTGATTTAGTGCTACCCCAACTATTGTAGTTGGTGGGACATCTATCCACACACGTGACATTTAATTGGACCTCACTGGTCACGACTTCTGATTTCGCCTACTTCATCTTTAGTCGTTTTTACGTAATCGATTTAACTACCTATTTATTTATCTTGTTTCCTTTTTTTGAAAATTGTGCATTACGTAACCGTCTGTTCAACTTTACAAATATATCTAGCCTCTAATATTTGCATTAATTTCTTTGGTTGATTACAGTCTCTTAACGTGCTGATACTGACTAATTTTTTCGCTCATTTATTGTCTTCGAAGTGTCTAGACGCGTTTTTTGCAAACTGAAAAGGAGCCATTATACATGATAGTATGAAGAACAGACTACTTTATCACAGATAGTTATAAAAAACAATGATTTAGTGATCATTATTGTTATTATCACGGTACATATTCAGTTTGCACTTTGTATTTTTTTGAAAAGATAGCATGTAATATTCAAAAGATTTCTTGTGATAATATTCTCATAAATATTTATTTACGAATCTTGATATTTGTTTTTTTAACTGTTAGACATCAGTGAACTCATTGTGATATGAATTGACAAATGTTCCCTTTTTATCGACCATATCGCATTTCATTCCCGCTAAATTTGTAACCACCTTCATTAGAATCTTTTATTGATGGAGATTTATATAATAACTTTTGAAACAAAAAAGGATCATCCAAATCAAGTTCTGATAATCGACTCGGTTGAAAGGATGACACCAATGGTGTGGTTAAGCAAATAGTTATCATCAAAATTTGCAAGAACCTCATTGCGTTACGTGTTACTTGGATGTTAATTGAACAGGAAGTATAGAGTAGGTTTTCAGCTGTCTGAAATGATAAAGAGTGAAAACATTTTATATGTTTGTAAGTGAAACAAAAAGCACATTGACTGTATGATTTGTTCAAGTGTTTGTAGTCAGACAGAGATTTACTAACTCCTACTTAACACTAGATACCTCAATTAGTTACCTGTTTCAGATAAAATATCAAGTAAGTTAACATTACTATTATTCCATTGGGTTCCAAATAGAACATATTTTTACAGTAGCACATCTACATTTCATCTTCCAACCTGAAATCCTTTTTCAGCTAGCTTAACGCTTGCTCATGACCCTTCATCTCTTCCTTACTCGACATTCTCCATCATACCCTCGTCAAACTGATCGTTTCTCACTTGGGTTCCACTCTAGGCTACCTGATGTGCGAAGTTAGTCAGTGGTCTCTTCAGCGTATATCCAGTCCTTCTCCCCTTCCTCCAGTATATTTGTTGAGCAATAGGTTCTTATTAAGCTCTTTACCAGAATTACTTGTTCCTCATCCTTTCTGACAGGCCATCTGATATTCAGTATGAAGCGAAGGCAGCTGTTGATAGACATCTGAAGCCTGCTTGAAATGATTTTGGTGACAAACATCAAGTATCTGAATCGAGCCAAAGAACTGACCACACATTAGTGTTAAACAAATCCTAATCATGTTCTTTATGCTAACTGCAGCAGATTTTCACATCAAGTGTGTTATTGGTTTCATATTCGGCATACAGCAATGGATAAAGTTTGTAATATCACTTCGTGTATGCCACACACATGTTCAATACTTTCTATGGTAACTATCCAGACTTAAATAAAGAAATATTTTATTCCTTAATGTTCCCAGTGGAACATAGGGTTTCAAGCTAGAAGCCTGAAGTTTCAGCACCAGTGGTATTTATTTTTACGGGATAGGGTTGCTAGCCTCATGCTCAGCCTTCCTCTTTACGAGTCTAGTTACTAGCTTAGCGAGGTAATGGAGTGCGTCAGCCAGGGATCAAACCCCGGACCGTCAATTAATAACCCAACAGCTAATGAGGTAGCATGTTACCCAAAATAGTTATTAGTGATTGCTTGGACAAGAAATGGCTACACGGAAAAAGAAATACTGACCAGCACTAACCAGTTTGAAATATATAATCATTTGTAAATAAGGCGTTTAAGTCCGTCACTATTCCATACGTTTACTATGGCTGAAAACGCATTTATATGTTATGTTTGCAAAGCGTCCATCAGTAATAATTCATAAACATTTATAAAATGCATTTATTTATTTATCTTTTTGATTACAGCTTGATTCCACACTGTATCTTTGGTACAAGTATGGAATTTTCAGCATGTGATATCGGTAGCCCAAATTTTGCAGGCCGACCATAGATATCATGTGTGCGTCGGCAGGGGATCGAACCTCAGACCATGTGCATGGTCGGCGAGAGTCCTAACCATTATGCCACCGAAGTGATTCAGATTTCAAAGTTATTTCATCATACAACTGATAGAATAATCAGAAATCACTGCTGAATAAATAGTCTCATTGAGCTTTTCAGCACTCTTCGGCTTTCAATTCTTCTCCAATTGATTTAAATTCCTGATTAAAGCTACCTTCGAGTTCATCGCAATTCTTTGTGTACTACTTAATAGTTTTGAGCGATAGTTTCCAGTGTATATTAAAAAATATCAACTACTAGCTTTTTTCAGATGTTGAATCTGTAAGGATTCACTTGTTTTCATTTGTCACGAATCAGAACCAATCGGAGAACCACAAAAATTGAGGAGAATTAGACTGACATTTGTCCTAATTTAGAACCTTTCAATACACTAAATTTATACTTAGAAAAATATATATCGTGGTCTGCTATTGAGTAATAGGAGGTGGCGTAATTGATATAATTATTCAGAAGTGGCTTTAGAAATGAAAATTAAAAGTTGTAAATTACGTGGTACTCGATGGCACAAAGATAAAAATTTGATAAGGTTAAAATTGCTATTGAGTGAGAATTAAATTGACACTCAAATATCTTTATTCTCACTCAATAGCAATTTTAACCTTATCGAATATTTATCTTTGTGCCATTGAGTACCACGTAATTCAAAGCTTCTAATTTTCACTTCTGAAGACACTAAATGTATCTTTCGTGTAATATTGCACAGTGTAGTCAAGAGGTGTCTCGTTTACGACTAGAAACTAATTCGTTGTGATCTGAACGCAAGGAACCGATCTTTGCGTTCTACTTCATAGCTGTTCCAAACTTTCTTCAGCCGTGCACAATAACAAAACGCTCCGAAGACAGACATAATCTGTGTGTATCTAATCAGTAGTAGTACCAAAGAAAACTCAAAATCACCTCGACAATACCACGAAGCAGCTATACAGTCAAGATTATTTTCTAAGTAGACAACAAGTAATTAAAATCAAGTTGACCTTTCCCAACAAGGTGAGATGAAAAACTCTGTTCACAAGAATCACACACACACACACACACGCCAACAATTCCCGCAGACAGTTCAAGGTCAGATTCGCTTTGATTCCCTCAAACAAAATCACATCTCCCAACACATTATCAATCTATATGCAACCACAAAGAGAAACATTACAATTAGATATTAAACAGGTACAAAGACGAAAACAATAAGGATTAAGTCGACATATGATATGAAAATGTCAAAAGAATGATATGACTCTTGGAAAAAAATGGATAATAGTGAGTACTGCTGAAGAGTCCCAAACTAGGACGAAACAGCTGTCCAGTACTCCCAGGTTTTCCAATGGTTCTCTATCCAATGTCAGCTCATGGTGAAATCCTGTAACCAATCAACCAAATCCCTACAAACCAATACTTGAATAGTTACAAAGTTATTTGAAACATTCAAATAAGCAATAATTTGTGATTTCATAGCTTAGAAGGGATTTTTCAAACAATTTCTCCTTTACACCTTGATATTTGTTTTTAATTCGGTACCTGTTTGACTAGAACGAAATCGTTTAGCCAGGTGTTAAGTAATTGATTCCCTGATTTTTCAAATAAAATCTATGCAAACCATAAATTAGTGGACGATTATTTATCAAAGGCAATGAATTACTGCTCACTTAAAATATATCAACCAACAAAGTGCTCATGTTTATCAAAACTTGTCAAATCCTGAGACAATTATTTTCATAACTATTGCCAAATCTCATAACACAGAAGAACATAAAATCATTTCAAATAATGTAAACTGATAAATTAATTAGTCCGAATAGATGGATGGTAACATCTCTGACCGCTGAAGTGAATCTCCTTGGGGGATACCTTTTTCCCGCCATATGTCTGGGTGAAGAATGCTACTGGGCGAAAAACTTAGATCAAGGATTTTCCATCACCTGTCTCCAAATACCTGACATTAATTGATTATTAGCGGTCAAATATTTGTCTTCATAGGCAGAAATTATGAACAATATTGAAATATTGATAGATACACAACTGCGTTTCTTGTTTGATTATGAGAGTATGTAAAAGAAGTCAAAGTAGCGGTAAGATTTTAGCCAATAGACCTGTGATTATAAAGTTAGCTCAATGGTAACTTCAACTCACCAAATGATCATTATTCTATATCTAACCTAGTATCATTCACAAACTAAAAAGTATTTTTTAAATTTTTTTTTTTTTATTATTTTTTATTTTATTATTATTGTTTTTCTCTATTAGTAATAAACTGAAGAGAGATGAGAATTCTAATGTTTTTCCTAGGAAGTTTATTGGTCAAACTAGTTTTATAAAGAAAATGATGGACTAGTTTAAGTTTCTAAAAATTGTTGACCTGCTCAAATGATTTTCCGTTAAGTAACAATTCATTAATAATAACTGAACATTACGAAAGACTTGTTCGATTACTGAAAACATTAAAAGCTTTCCCTGAACAGTGAATCTACTCTCCATCATACGTCCATTCTGTTTAACTAAACTTTACACACATTCTGTGTGAAGTTTACTCATTATTTGCCGTTTATTTTACACAGTATTTATTATTTTGTGTTCCGAATGGAACATAGGGTCTTAAGCCTAATTTTTGAAGTTTTAGTAGCAGTAGTGTATCTTTTCACTGGGTGGGGTTGCTAGACTGACTCCCAATCTTCCCACTTTATCAGTCTTACTACTGGTTAACTGAGATTTAGGAGTGTGTCGACCGGAAATCGAACCCGAGACCACGTGTGTTGTAGTAGGCTAGTGCTCTACCGCTAAATCTCCGATGCCATTTTAACACTGTAATCACTTTGTATTTAAAAACAAAAGTGAACTGATTCACTACTGTAATTCTGACAAAAATACTCTTAAGTTAATCTTATTACGTATTTCGTGTAAATAAAATATCATTAAGTTTAGCCAAGGAGATAAAGGCAATGAACGCTATAGAGGTTTTACAGGCCACTAAACAAACATTTCAAAGCTCACTGTTTACAGTGGCTTTTAAGTTCATATAAGCTCATAATTAATAAAAACACGACTAAATTCTTTTTAATCCAAAGTCTAACTTTCTCAAGGTGCTCCAACTTCTTAGATTACCACTGAGTATGAGTAAGAAAATTTCACTACTTTGCCAACTGAAGGTGAATAAAAATAATAAGGCATGTGTGAGCATGCAAGTGTGTACTGTAACACCAACAAAATATCCTTACAAATTAATCCTACTGAAAATAATAAATTGTGATTGTGGTAAAACTGCTGAAGGCAGCGATTTATATTTTACTAGTGTATTACAATGAACATCATATTATTTCAGGATTTCATCTTGAACTGAAATCGGTTAGAGAACCGTTGGGAAACCTGGGAGTACTAGACAGTCCCAAACTAGGACGAAACAGCTGTCAGTACTCCCAGGTTTTTCAATGGTTCTTTAACCGATTTCAGTTCGAGATTAAATCCTGTAAACACATCTTTTTGAATTTACTTTAGTGCTTCGATGGTACAGAGTTGAATGCTTGTCAGCCCCACATGTTGTGGGGATTCCTTTTCCGACTAGCGGATACTAGGCCTGGAAAAGAGG